GCCCCAGCCGAGCGCCGAGCCAGTACAAGCCGCTGTGCGGTCGCAGCCGGGCTGGGGAGGCAAGGCTGCGGCCCCGCCCCCGCCCCGCCCCCTAGGCGAGGCCAGCCGAGCACCGAACGCGCCCCTTCGCGTCTCCGCCTCCCTCCTCAGCCCCTCGGAGTCTCCTTCAGTACCTCGGCTGTGCTTGAGAATTCGAATCCCACCCTGCTACTTTCTAGTCCCTCCACCTGAGGCAAGTCGCTCTGCCTTTTGGAACTTTAGTTCCCTGTAAAACAGAAACAATAATGTCTGCTGTTTATTTGCCAGGCACTGTTCTAGGCTCTTTATGTAAATGATCTCATTCCAATTTTAGTGTATGTGCTAAGAGAGCACAAGTGAATGATCTTGTTTAAACGTCACAGTAACATTTTTACGTAGGAATTATTTTACACACACACACACACACACACACACAGTTTATAGGAAACAAGGGAGGCACAGAGCTATAAAGAAACCTGCTGAAGATTACACAACAAGGAAATGGTGTCAGGTGTCAGGATTCAAACCTAGGGTCAAGCAGCCACAATAAAAGTTAACACGCTATGCCAGATTCCGTTATAAGCATTTTACCTGCACTAACTCGTTTAATTCTCATCACATCCCAATAATGAATCTTTAAAAAGTTCTGCGCATTTTGCAAAACTTAAGCAGAGAGAGAGGGTCAAGAACAAGTAGCAAGGAGAGTTGGGACTGGGAACCCAGACAGTCCAGACCACTACCCTGTCCCCCTTTCCTACACGGGTTAGAACCTACTGAGGGTTTTGTGAAAAAGGCTGCTTTGAACACTTTCTGGGTATTGTCTTTTAATCTTTGTTTTATCTTGGAAGCTAGGATTCTTATTTTAAGAAAATCTTTAAGTCCACCATTTTCTTTTTTAAAAAAATATATCTTTATTGATTTCAGAGAGAGGAAAGGAGGGGGGAGGGAGATAGAAACGCCAGTGATGAGAGAGTCGCTGGAGATGGAGCCCTCAACCCAGGCATGTGCCCTGGTCGGGATTGAGCCTCCATCTCCTGGATCCTAGGTCGACGCTCAGCCGCTGAGCCACGCCCGGCCGGGCTAGGATTCTTATTTAACAGGTAAGGAAAGTGAGGTCCAGAGAGTTTAAGTAACTTGCCAAGAGCATGTGATAGGACTGGGATTCAGGATGCCCTGAAATAAAGTATTTATGGCACCCAGACGATCAATAGATGTTGGATTTTTTCGCTTACCGCCCCTTTTCTGAGCCTCAACTTCCTCATCTGTGAAGTGGGCTGGTAACGTGTGGCCTTAATTACAGGAGAACCGCTGTGATCAAGGCCACGGATACAACACGTTCGGCGCTCTCCGTCGTGCATTTTGATCCCTGCCGTCCACTGTAGGTCGCATCACTGATTGGCTAACTTCTGCCACATGACCTGCCCCCATCTGTGCCAACATGGCGGCGCCCAGGTCTTAATCGGGAAAATGTGCACCAAGACCAATTCGGTTCTCGGTTTCGCGAAAGGAGGTTAGGAGGGCCTGGGCGGCGAGGGGAGGGATCTGGTGCAGGGGCGGGCCCACTGAAGGGCCTCAGGCTTCGCAGGGGCCGATCCTCAGAAGATGGGGGTGGTGTCCGCTTACCGAGGCCACAGGGTCTCCTAAACCTCTTATTTTACAGATGTGTAGGCCACTCGGCCCAGGAACGCACCTCTCTGATCCTCTCTGTGCCCTCCTGATCCAGGCTTGGCGGGCAGAGGCTACTGCGGATGTCCCATGCGAGGATTGCCCTGGGGCTAAATCTGACTCTTCGCTCCGCCCGCGGTCTCTGTAGAGCTCGGTTTACGGAGGGGCAGCCCCAAGGGCCGGCTAACCCAACCTCAATGGAGAACGGCACGATGCGCTGCGGGGAAAAGCGTCCAGCTGCGGCCCAGGAGACGACGGTCACCGAGGGGGCCGCCAAGATCGCCTTCCCTAGCGCCAACGAAGTCTTCTACAACCCAGTGCAGGAGTTCAACAGGGACCTGACGTGAGCAGGGGCCCGGGGTTAGCTTGGCAGTGGGCAGTGGGTCTGTGAAGTGAGAGGGTGTGAGCCGAGCCTTCCTCTCCCGCAGATGTGCTGTGATCACTGAATTTGCTCGCATTCAACTTGGGGCCAAAGGAATCCAGAGTGAGTGGAGGTCCAATCTCCTGGTGGGCGGGGGTCACACAGAGGTCTCTCCCTGCCCACCCCCCTCTCCCCTAAGGTCCGCAAAGGCTTCAGCCACATAGCAGGCCCTAGGCTCTGTTCCTTCAGCCTTTTCCTAGGAACTTTGGGAAAGATTTTCGTCCATGAATCTTCTGTATTCTGAAGCGTAGAGGTTTCTCAGACAGAGCCTTGGTAGCCCCTGACTTGTGTTTCTGGGTCACTGCAGTCAAGGTGCCAGGTGAAAAGGAGGTGCAAAAGGTGGTGGTGGACTTGTCAGAGGAAGAGGAGGACAAGGCTGCACTGAAAGAGGGTGCAGACCTGGCCCCGGGAAACCCACCTCGAACAGCCACTGTGGGGGAGATCTGTGAGGTGAGGTGGCAACCCTGGAGTCCAGTGGGTGATGGAGGAAGGAAGGTTCCTGGGTAGGGGTAGCTGGAGGAGGAAGGTGGTGGGGGCTCCCGCAGAGAACAGAGATATTGATGTGAGTGGGGCTCCTTGCTTACTCCAACAGGAAGGCCTGCGAGTGCTGGAGGGCCTGGCAGCCTCAGGTCTTCGTTCCATTCGCTTTGCCCTAGAGGTGCCTGGGCTCCGATCCGTGGTTGCCAATGATGCCTCTGCCCGAGCTGTGGATCTCATACGTCATAATGTGCAGTTCAATGAAGTGGCCCACCTGGTACAGCCCAGCCAGGCAGATGCCCGGTAGGTTCTGGGCAGCTGGAAGGTGCCTTCTGGAGCAAGGCTGCCTGGGGTCATATCCTGGCTGTGTCATATTTTTGCTCTGTGACCTTGGGAGAGTGCCTTAGCCTCTCTGAGCCCCAGTTTCCTTGTGTATAAAATGACAGTTTTACAGGGGTTGCTGTACTGATTAAATGAGAGGTAGTACTTGTATGGCCCATGCGCGGTGCCAGAAATAAGTACCATTATGGTTTCCATTTTAAACATCTTGGACTTTTATTCATTCAGATGAACCACCTTGTAGCCGTTGCCTGATATGTGCTGGACACTGTTCCCAGTGCAGGGAATGCGTCAGTAAACATTACAGACAAAATCCCTGACCTTGTAGAGTTCACATTCAAATGCAGGGATCAGCAAACTATAGCCTGCGAGGCCCGCAGTCTGGGTTTTTGTGGCCTACCATCTAAGAATGTTTTTTACTTTTAAAAAATGTATATATCGTTATTGATTTCCGAGAGAGGCAGGGAGAGGGAGAGAGAGAGGTAGAAACATCAATGATGCGAGAGTCATTGATTGTCTGCCTCCTGCATGCCCCTCATTGGGGATTGAGCCTGCAACCCAGGCATGTGCCCTGACTGGGAATCGAACTGTGATCTCCTGGATCATAGGTTGATGCTCAACTGCTAAGTCACACTGGCCAGGCTATTTTTTACATATTTAAAGGTTTGAAAAAAGAAGAATATGTAATAGTGACTGTATGTGGCCTACAACGCCTAAAATATTTACTGTCTGACCCTTTACAGAAGGTAAATAAGTAAAAAGTATTTACTTTCCTGACCATAGTAAAATCTAATAGGAAACACAGGATAACAAATAATCATGACAAATAAGTAAGTTACATAGTAAAGTAGAGGCGAGAGTGCTCTGGAAAACAATAGAAGGTATAGGGGATGGAGGAAGGTGGTGGTGGGGGAGTTGCAATTTTGAGAAATATGGTCAGGGTAGGCTATGTTGAGAAGGTAGCATTTGCTTTTCCTCACCTGCAAAGGGAACAGTACAGTTCCAACTCCATTAAGTTGTTCTGGAAGGCACCTTCCACCCCATTGGAAAATTGTGGGATGTCAGGCACATATATGCTACATTAGTACAGTAGGTCCTGGAATAATGTGTCATTAAAACGTTGATGAGAAAAAGAAAAATCGATTCCTGGCCAGGGCTACTGTCTGTGTGGATCTGTGGGCTTTCTATGGAGACTCCAGTTTCCTGCTATGACCTGAAATGTTCATGTGAGGTGGACTGGCATGTCTACATTTTACCAGTCTTAGTGAGTGTGGGTGGGTGTGAGTGGCCCTGCAATGGAAGGGCTTCCTTTCCAGGGTGGATCCCACCTCACACCCTGAGCTGTCTGGATAGACTCCAGCCATCCATGATCCTGAACTCGAGTAAGTGGGTGGAAAATAATGATCTGACTTGTTTTTATTAATTTTTCTTAAATATATGTAGGGCTCACATTATTCCAATGTTTAATGTTAGAAGTGTTTTGAGTATTTAGAATTTGAGCGATGTTTTTGTGACCAGAAATGCTGTAGGAATTTAACTCCTATTTAATTCAATTAGTCTGTGGTAACATTGGTTTCATTACATGTCATCTCACTTAAAGTCGCAGTTTCCAAAAACTTTTGATAATGTTAAATGAGGACTTACTGTATTGGCTATTTTATGGCATTGTTAGAGATGGGTACACTGAGGCCTGAGGGGGGAAAGCTGTGAAGTTAGCATATGGCCAAGCCAGGATTTAAGCCCAGGCAGCTGGCCCCTGAGTCCAGGCCCAAACCATCACACTGAATGATTGAACATGTGTAGGGAATAGAGCAGGTCCCTGGTATAGGGGGCTGAGGAATTGGCCCTCTCCCCCCAGGATGCTGATGTACCAGCACCAGCGGGTGTCGGATCGGTTTGAAGTCATTGACCTGGACCCCTATGGCAGCCCTGCCCCTTTTCTGGATGCAGCTGTGCAGGCTGTGAGTGAAGGAGGTGAGGCCAGGCTGACCCAGGAGTACAGAGCAGGGCTTGGGGTGTTTGAAGGATCCTCACTGTCCAGTCCCTCCCTGCAGGGCTGCTGTGCATTACCTGCACGGACATGGCAGTGCTGGCGGGGAACAGCGGGGAGACGTGCTACAGCAAGTATGGGGCCATGGCCCTCAAGAGCCGAGCCTGCCACGAGATGGTGAGCCCCCCACAACAGCCCTTCCCACCCCTCAGACCTGTTCCGCTTCCTCCAAGCAGCCAGGGCCAGATCCATGCCAGCATATTAATGACAAGCACATCTTTAACCAGCATAGTTCCTAAGAGCATGGGCTGTCAGTCATGGTCATTTGGGGACAATGGCTTTGTCCAGGATAGGAGCGGTGGTTACACCATTCTTTCTAGTAGTCTCTATTTTAACAACTTTCCAAAATTGTCTCTTTAAGGCAGTTTTTCCAGGTCTGGGTTCAAGTCGTAACCTTACTGGTAGCTTTGAGCAAGTGACTTCCCCTTTCTGGGCCTCAGTTTTGGATTTTGTGAAATGGGCATGCTGATGATGGCCTGGACACCATTGGGTTGCTGTGGGAATTCAAGAAGGCAGGCAGGCTATGACAACAGGCTGGGAAAGGAGGGGCTCTGTCCTTGTTCCTTAAGGGCCCTGTCATTGATCATTATGGGAAATGCCGCCTCCTTTTCTGTGTGAGTGTCATGGCAGCTCCCTAGCATGGAGAAGTCCCCAGCAGTTCTTCAGCACCCAGTGTCCCCACTTCCTGCTGACAAAGGCCGTGGTGGCTGGGCCACAGGTCCTTGGGCCACATCACACAGCACAGGGCAATGCTGATGATGCTAATCGGAATAGATTCCACATACTGGTCCTGTGTGTTCCTAAATCACTTAGTGCCCCCAGCAGGGCCATAGAAAGAGAAACTTTCGCAATTTCACAGATGAAGGAACTGAACACTCACTTGCCAAGGGTCACACAGTCAGGATGCTCAGGGTCAGGCTTGGAACCTACGGAACCTGGCCAGACCCTATGCTGTGAGCACCTTGTTCAGAGACAGGGATGACAGAAGACGCCCACCCCCAACCTCACCCCCAGGCCCTGAGGATCGTCCTACACAGCCTGGACCTCCGTGCCAACTGCTACCAGCGCTTTGTGGTGCCACTGCTCAGCATCAGCGCTGATTTCTATATACGCGTTTTTGTTCGTGTCTTCACCGGCCAGGCCAAGGTCAAGGCTTCAGCCAGGTTAGCAGAGGTGGGACAGGCACTGGGTGGATTGAAAGTAGCAACAGAGCCTTCCTTTGGGGAAGTGGCATCCTAAAGGGGACCAAGTCAGCCTGAGGGAGGAGTTGGGGTATGGTGGCCAGCCCTGTTTCCCTACAGCAAGCAGGCGCTGGTATTCCAGTGTGTGGGCTGTGGAACCTTCCACTTTCAGCGCCTTGGCAAAGTGTCGGGGGCCTCTGCTGGCCGGTGAGCAATGGTGAGCCAGAAGGGAGGTGAAGGGGGCTTCTAAGGGGTGTCACCCCCTAAACACCTCTCTCCGCACAGGGTCAAGTACTCTGCAGCCTGCGGTCCCCCCGTCACCCCTGAGTGTGAGCACTGCGGGCAGCGGCACCAGGTGGGACCAGGCCACAGTTAGGTGTGGGGGTCACAAGGGTCCTTGTGTCTCATTCCTTGTCTATCTGGACCCTGTGTGTCTACAGCTCGGTGGCCCCCTGTGGATAGAGCCAATCCATGACCTGGATTTTGTGGGCCGTGTCCTAGAGGCTGTGAGCACCAACCCCAGCCGCTTCCACACTTCGGAGCGGATCCGAGGAGTCCTGAGTGTCATCACTGAGGTGGGGACTGGGCCAAAATAGGATGGGGCTCACCTGTGCCCAGCTTCTTCCATCTGCCCCATGCATATTCTGTTGTCGCCCATGGCAGGAGCTGCCGGATGTGCCTCTGTACTATACGCTGGACCAGCTGAGCAGCACCATCCACTGTAGCACACCCAGTCTCCTGCAGCTGCGGTGAGAGCCAGGCTAGGGAGGAGCAGAGCCTGAGTGCTGGGTGCCCTGGACAACTTATGCCCCTTTTGGGACAGAGTCTCTTGTAAAATGGAGATCATACATAACTCACGTCCAGGGAGTCTCATGTACAAGTACTTAGAACAGAGCTCAGAGGCCAAGAACCCTGGCCAGGGGGACAGTCTAACTATTATGATCATTGGCATTAGACCAGCCACGTAGTCACTATGAGACATGCAGCCAGCCTCACAACTCAACACAACTCACACCCACATGTCAGCACTAGCTTTGGGGTCTAGCCTCCCCCTCACAACCCTTGGTCCCCAGGTCAGCCCTCCTCCATGCTGGCTTCCGGGTCTCACTCTCCCATGCCTGTAAGAATGCCGTGAAGACAGATGCCCCTGCCTCAGCCCTCTGGGACATCATGCGCTGCTGGGTAAGGGCTGGCCTGACTAGATAGGGATGAGTGAGCAAGGGTTGGGCAGGCTTGGCATCCCCTGGCCTCTGACCTTTGCCTCCCAGGAGAAGCAGTGCCCAGTGAAACGAGAACGGCTGTCTGAGACCAGCCCGGCCTTCCGCATTCTCAGCGTGGAGCCCAGGTAGGGACTCAGACACTTCTGCCACAGACATGGATGCTCACATGCATGTAGATGACACAGACACTTCCCCACACAGACACATATTCATTCTTCAAGTAAGATCCAGAATCCACCTTCTCCCCCCACTTCTCCCCCTTCTCCTCTCCCCTCACTCTGATCTGGCCCATCACTGCTCACCTAGACCAGTGCAGTCACCTCTGCCCTGGTTCCCCAGCTCCCACCCTCGTCCCCCACAGGCTGTGCTTCCCACAGCAACCAGAGGGCGCCTGTGAGCACCTGAGTCAGATCATGTTCCCCCCTCTGCTCAGAACCCTCAGTGGCTCCCACCTCAGTAGAAATAAAGTTCCACCTGCAAGCCCTGTCCCATCTCCATGTCACCTTCCTGCCCTCATTTATTCCCCTCCTTCCCCCTGGCTCATTCCACACTGTCCTTCTCACTCAAACTCACCAGGGACATCCCCGCCTCAGGCCTTTGCATGGGCTGTTTCCTCTACCTGTAGTGCCTGTCCCTGGGTCCCACCCCATTGCTGTTCCCTCACCTCCTTCAGGTGTCCCTGACCCTGTCCTATTCTGCATCGAACCCATTCTCTAGTCTCCCCAGAACCTCTATCCTGCTCTGTTCTTTTCAAAACTCTTATGTCATGCCGTAACTCAGCATGATTTCTGATTTTTCCTGTTGCTTTGTCTATCTTGCACACTAGAGTGTTAGCTTTCCCAGAAGCAAATTTCAGGCACACAGTAGGCACTCAATAACTGTTTATTAAATGAATGAGAGAATCCTGACTTAGGCAGATGCATTCCCAAGTCACCGAGGTGGACAGGCCACGTGGGTGGTTTTGTTGTGCATGTCTGAGTGGTGGCTGCCCCTCAGCCACACCATCCCCTTCCGTAGGCTACAGGCCAACTTCACCATCCGGGATGATGCCAACCCTAGCTCCCGCCAGCAAGGACTCAAGCGCTTTCAGGCCAACCCCGAGGCCAACTGGGGCCCCCGGCCCCGTGCCCGGCCAGGGTGAGTGAGTGGTGGCCATGGGACTTGGCCAGGGCCTGGGATGCAGAGGCCAGATGAGGTCCCAGCTGCTCATCTCCCTGCACAGGGGTAAGGGAGTGGGCGAAGCTATGGAGGACAGACGCAGGTTGCGCCAGAATAAGCGAAAGGAACCAGCTGAGGACCTGGCCCAGCGGGCTGCCCGGCTTAAGACATTTCCTTGCAAGAGGTTTAAGGAGGTGAGGCATCCCCCACCCCCCACTGCAGTACACCTGGGTCCCCCTTACAGCAATAGGGCAAGGCTAAGGGGCAGGCAGGGCTGGGAAAACTGGGGATGGGCAAGTGTATGGGAATGAGCTCCCCATCCAGGAAAGGAACCCAGTGGAGGCTGTCCGACTCTGGGCTGGGGCTGTCCGACTCTGGGCTGGGGCATCACACCCATCATCTTCCCACCAGGGCACTTGTCAACTGGGGGACCAGTGCTGTTACTCCCATAGACTCTTGACACCTGAGGCTACTGCTGAAGCTGCCCCCACTGACTGTCCACAGACCCCCAACCAGAACCCTGCTGGGTCTGGGGCCACCACTGGTCCAGGTGTAGATTGAGCCAATAAAGAGACTTCACCTTGCCCTGACTGTCATTTGTCTGCGGAAGCTGCCGGTGGTTTGTCTGTCTGTCTAGCATGTCTGGGGCCTGTTCCTCTGTCCGTCGGAATTAACTCCCTGGGGGAGCTCTGTGCCTCTAGAGGTTGGTTTGTCCCTGCCTGACGGAGGTGTTGTCAATGCTTCTGCCTGAGGCGTTCTGTGTGGGGAGTGGTCCCTTCCTCTGCAGCTAGAGGCACTTAGGCACCTGGCAGCTAGCGCCTGCGGTTCTCCAGACGGCCACGAGGCGGCAGCCGTGTGCTCGCACCCATGGGCCTTTCTCCTGCACCCTGTTCCGTTGGCGCGCTCCCGAACTCGGGCATGAGGGCAAGCTTGTGCCACCGAGCTCCCACGTGGCCTCGTGCCGCCAGCTCCTGGCTGCCTGGTTTTTCTGGCCCATCTCCCCGCGGGGCTGTGGTGGCGGAAACCAGACCGTGGTGGCGGAAACCAGACCGGAACCAGGCGCCTTGTGCATCCGCTCCAGACCAGGTGCTTCCTGCCCTGTGGCCCCTCGGGTGGGGGCGCACGTAGAGGCACCCGGCAGGCTGCTGCATCCTCCCCAAAAGGGCAGGCCTTGGTAACGTTAACTGAGAGGCCTGGGGCAGAGTCCCCACCCTGCCACGAGGTAGCTGTGGGACCCTGCAGGCAACCTTCCCCGTGCTCGAGTTGCTAGCGAAATGAACCTGATCCCAGAACTGGCCTTATGGACACATCAAAGTTCACTCCGTGCTTAGAACTGGACCCTTGCTTCCCTGGGAAAGTGGGATGGTTGGTGGTGGGGTCTTGGCATCATCTGGTACCTGGGAGAGTGGTGGTAGTGTTGGTGCTGGTGACAGCTGAGAGCCTGCCTGGGGGCTCATGCAGTCACCTAGATAGACATGGGGCAAAGCAGGACTGACCCAGGCGAGAGGGTGCTGGGCATCAGAAACAGTCTTGTCATTGCTACCTAGCTGTACCCAGGGCCCCTCCCTTCATGAGGCTCCATCTGGGTCTTGAGTTTCACCAGCACCCAGGACATTCACCCAATACCTCTTTATCACCATTCACCCTGAAGTGGCCTAGCTGTGGGATGAGGGCCGGGGACCACCCAGTGGGGTTATGTGATCCTATGACCTAGAGGACCAGGATTGTGGGGACATGCTAGGGCACCCACTGGAAGGTTCTAGCAGCCTTGGCAACATAGGAAACTTCCCCCAGCTATAGTCCTTCCTGTCACCCTCCTGGGCCTAGAAAGGTGGTGTGGATAGTACAGTGGGGACAAGGACAACTACCGAGGCTGGACACCCAAGATCAGACTGTCAGAGCTGTCCTGCAGGCGCCCCACTCTGGGGTGGGGGTGGCAGAAAGGCTCTGTAAAAAGAGGAACGAGGCAGGAGGAGGAGAGAAGAAGGAGGGGGCCCCCAGTCACGAGCCCTAGCAGGGCCGGAAAGGGTTCTCCACCCCCATCAGCACGGACACAGCTGGGGGTGTTCAAAGACACAGGCCAGACCCAAGCAACATAGGAGGCCACTGCTTTCCTGCCTCAGTTTCTGCTCTGTGTGTATCCAGGCACCTCACTTGCAGCTGTGCCTTGGAACTGGGTTCTAGGAGGACCAGGTCCCTCCAGTGACTGAGAAGACTGAAGGTGAAGCCCTGAGGGGGTCACCGCCAGTCCTGCCCACCAGCCCGGGGCGGGGCAAGAGGCCGATCTTGGAGATCCCCGCCTGCTGGTTTCCTCTGGGGTCAGCCTGGCTCCTTATCAGTCTCAGCCAGGCGGCCAGGCCCTTATCTGCTCTGGCCCAGCATCCTCCAGCCACTGCGCCAGGGGTAAGAGGGAGGAAACCAGCTACCGGGGGTGGAGAGAGGGCGGGCCAGCCCCTGAGCCGCTCATTTTTCCTCGAGGGACCCACGCTGCTGCCACCACCAAGGCTCCAAGGCCCTTGGGAGCCCAGGAAGAGGTGAAGTCCAGACAGAGTGGCCAGCTGCCTGGGAAACAGAGTGGAGAGGCTGGAGGGAGCAGGGCCAGGGAGCCTGGCCTGAAGCTAGAACCATATCCTGGCCCTGACTGACAGAGCCAGGGCACTCAGCAGGCAGCAGGACCAGTGCTGGGGTAAGAATGGAGCTGCCTGAATGTGGGGGAATCCCTGACCCACCTGCATTCATTCATTCGATCCTTCCTTCATTCATTCATCTGCAGGAACCAACTAAGTAAGAGGCCAGGCCAGCTTCAGCAGGAACCAGCTAGGGAAGGCAGGGTAGAGAGGGACCAGGTGTCCCCAGTGTTGCTGGGAAACTTCAGGCCATGGGGCCAAGAGTGAACAGGGATATCTAAACAGGGTGCAGAGGGGTGGATGCTGATGGGTGGGGTGGGTGGGGGTGTCACCAGGGCCAGAAGGAGGATTGAGGGCATGACTATATGTATATGGCAGTGCCAGCATTTGGGGTCATAGTGTCAGCAGTAGGGTCACAGGATTGGTAAGGGGACATTTTCAGTGTGTGTGTGTGTGTGGGGGGTCACGAGCAGTTATGGAGGACTTTCAGGGTCTGACGGAGGATATCAGAAGAGCCTCAGGGTCCTAGATGAGGACCACAGGGTGGGCTTGGGCAAGAGGGGGGATGTCGGTGAAGGGTTTGAGTCAATCATGTAGGGATTCCAAGGACACACAGTGTCAATGGAGGGTGTCAGGATCAGATCTAAGGTTCTCAGGGTCCATCATGGGTTCCCTGCTTTGCCGCCCTCCCCTCTGGACTCCAGGTGAGAGGGGATTCTGGAGGAAGGATTCTGGAACTCCCATGTTCTGGCAGTTTCTGCCCCCCCCCTCCCCGTTGCCTTTGCCCACTGAACTGCCTCCCCACTATTCCTTCCATTTGAGGGTTCTGTTGGGCTAAGAGTATGTGTAGTAGCATCTGATCCCTCTTCCCCACTGGCTTCCTTTCCTTCCATAGGTGAGCACCCCCTCGGGTCCATGTGCCCACCCCAGGCCCAGGCAGAGGTGGCCCCCACCATGACTGAGAAGGCTGAGATGGTGTGTGCCCCCAGCCCAGCTCCTGCACTGCTCCCCAAGCCTGGCTCACCTGGGCCCCCAAAGGCAGAGGAGGTGGGCCACCGAGATGCCTCATCCCCCAGGCTGCCCCCTGGTGTCCCAGTGATCAGCCTGGGCCACACTAGGCCCCCAGGGGCAGCCGTGGCCACCACAGAGCTGAGTGCCCTGCGGCCCCCTCTGCTGCAGTTCTCCGCCCTGGGAAGTGCCCCAACCCCTCTGGCCCTGCATTACCATCCTCACCCCTTCCTCAACAGGTCAGTGGGGGGCTGGGCCTGGGGGCAATCCGGGGTCAGGGTCCTTGCCCACAAGGCATTAGTGACCCATGAACCCTTACAGCCTCTACATTGGGCCGGCAGGACCTTTTAGCATCTTCCCTAGCAGCCGGCTGAAACGGAGACCAAGCCACTGTGAGCTAGAGCTGGCTGAGGGTGAGTATGGGTTTGTGTCTGCATGGGGTCCACGTCTGTCCTATATCTTTACAAAGGGAGAGGTGCTGCCAGTGCACACAGACATGCACAGAACAGCCCACACGGGTTCAGTACTCAAGTTACACCCATGTGCAAAACCACAGTCCCATAGCCAGTCCCACACAACCAGTCACCCAAGCCACAGAGTCCTGGCAAACACAGCATGGTACAGGGGCCACAAAATGACAGCTCCACTAGAATGCACAGCCACCCAGGAAGCAGCCACATGACAACCATCATGCAAGAGACAGCCATGGGACCACAACCACACAGGAGGCAGCTAGACAAGCACAGCCACAGGACCATGGCCACACAAGAGTCAGCCATACAACCGCAGCCATGCATGACACAGCCACATGGCAAGGATCACACACGACCACAGCCATTTGGACAGACCACAAGTCACACAGCCACCTAAGACACGGACAGGACCATAATCACAACAAGAGTACCTCTCAGACCCACGAGCACCCCTGGTACACACAGGGGAACACTCAGAATGAGGACCATAGGGACAGCCCCCCAGACTGGCAGCCACAAGGTAACATTTCTCTAGGGAATCTCAGCCACTGACATAAAAGGTGCAGACAGTCAGAGGCAAAGAGGCCCCAGTTATCTGCAGCCTGGTTTATCCTTGTCTAGACGGCAGGAGGGGAAGGGGCAGGATTGCTAACTATCGGGAGCCACACGTGGATCCCAAACGTGGATCCCTTGGGTGCAGAAAGCCCCAGCTCACCACCTTTGTGGAAGTCCCCACCAGAGTGCTGGGTGCCTGAAGTGAGGACAGGCGGGGTCACCCCTCGGTGCCAAACCCTCCCCTCCTATCTGCAGGGCAACAGCCCCAGAAGGTGGCCCGGCGTGTGTTCACCAACAGTCGTGAGCGCTGGCGGCAGCAGAACGTGAACGGCGCCTTTGCTGAGCTCAGGAAGCTGCTGCCCACGCACCCCCCTGACCGGAAGCTGAGCAAGAATGAGGTGCTCCGCCTCGCCATGAAGTACATCGGCTTTTTGGTGCGGCTGCTGCGAGACCAGGCAGCCGCTCTGGCAGCAGGCCCCGCCCCGCCCGGGCCGCGCAAACGGCTGGCGCACGGAGGCCTGGACGATGGCCCCCGCCGTGGGCCCTGCCACCG